CGTTAAAAGCCTTTGGCCAATATTCGTAAATAAGATCCATTTTAGCCCGAAATATAAAATTTGCCAAAGGCCTAGCTACATAAACCCTAAACCCTTAACCCTATATCTACAGGGAACAGGACTTCCAGCGAGTACTCGCCTCATAATCAGCGAAGCTAAAGGATTCATCGCACTGAAGCATCATTTAGACGGCGATTTATGGCTTAAGGTCCGGAGTTAGGGCGATAGGGCTCAGGGATTTGGTGTTTGTGCTTTAGGGTCCAGAGTTAGGGCGAGAGGCTCGAAACGTTATTACACCAGCTTCATCTGAGTGGCCTCACATGCTGCTCACTGAAGCGCATCTGGGTGGTGTTGAACTGGTTGGTTCCTTGCTTGGGATTAGGTCCTTCTGTCGCATGTCTTATTTGCATAGCAGATTGAAAAGCACAGACTTCCATCAATATAGCATGCATGGGGAAGATTCAGCTTCGAACATGTGCCGAAACCGTACAGCACTAGCTACAGTAGACCAAGAGTGGCCTACGCTATACAGCTTGCGGGACGAGACGTGGCAGGAACAAAAGACTGCCACCTCAGACACTTTCAAAGAGTGTGGGAAGGCCAAGATCCTGTTCTGCGCTTCCCGGGCCCAGCGCAGTTGCAGCTTTCCGGGTTCAGGGCGTGGTTTGGCAGTTCATCTTGATCCAAGGTTCGCATGGAGATCTGACTGACCCGGTTCAAGTCGTCCTCGCGGGGCTCTCGGATTTCAATGCGCACCTGTCCGAACAGAAGCTGAGCTCAGGGCTTTTAGGCTTTTAGGCTTTTAGGGCTCCGGGCTTTGGGGTTTTGGGGTTGCAGGTTTCGGATTTAGGGTTTAAGGTTTAGGATTTAGGGGTTTAGTAAGGGCTTAGGAGTTTAGGATTTAGAGGTTTTAGGGTTTAGGGTTTGGGGTTTAAAGTGCTTCCGGGCTTCGGGAGCACGGCGAGTAAGAGCCGCAAGATTCGTCAGTGAAGTGGAAAGTGAGAAAGCGTGACCTCCCTATAGTCTCCATTGTAGTTCCTTTTGGGGAATACCTTATAAAATCCTTAATATATAATTGGTTAAACCAAAAACAAGGAACTACAATGGAGACTATAGGTATAACCCGAAGAGTCCATGTACCCAATTAGTGTCTACTTTGACCTGAAAGTAGTCCCCATGTAGGCACTTTGGGGCCAAAGTATACACTCTTTGGGTACATGGACCCTTACGGGTGTTTGGTTTGACCAATTTTTCTATGTAGGATCCCAGATTGTACCCAGAGGCCCCATAGTAACTAGTTCCTTTTTCGGATTACTTTATTGGTTTCTTAACATGAACCCCAAAAAGGAACTACTTTAGGGCAAAATGGAACAACAATGGAGACTTCAGGTCCAGACGACATGGCCCTGGAAGCTTACTGTTTTCTAGGATCCCCAGTAACCTGGGATTAAAAAGGGCTCCCTTTTTGGTATTGAGTAGTGTTATAAGGAACCTAAGACAAAAAAAAGCGACAAAGGGCCCACATGGCGACCTTGTTTTTGATTTCATGCAAACCCAAAGGATCCTCATCCCAACTTGACCCTAAACCCTAAACCCTAAACCCTAAACCGTCCAGGGCCTGTCAAGCCGAAGTCATACCCAGCCGTTTATTCGGATCCTATAATAACTTCGATGTCGATATTCGGAGGACTTACTCATTCCTTCCACCGTCTTTCCGACGAGTGTTTCAACAAGAAACCTTGGCTCCTGTTTCCTACCACGTCGTCAATCTTCCCGTCTTCCCGATACCCGAAGAACTAAACGGAGCTGCCCCAATGCCTCCAGAGACGCCACAAAGGACTGCAAGGACGAATGCCGATCCTGACTCTATATAAGTTTGGGTCTGGGATTTGAAGGAGTTAGGGCCGTACAGTTTGAGATATGGGAATGTGGGAATGGGGTGTAACATCTAGATTTACGGTTTAGGGGGAAAGTTTAGGGATTGAGGCTTTCGGGGATTTAGGACTGCAAACAACTTGTTGCCCCCAGGAAGGGGGTACTGAAAACAAGAAGTAGTCCACATCATTTCGATTTGCCTGGCCTGGGACAGCTGCAGCCCTAAGTTGCTCGTAATCTCCGATCCTCAAACGGCTAAGTAGCCGAATCTCGACAAACAAAACCTGTGAAAGAACTCAAAGTACAACAGCCTGAAAGATGGAGGCCTGCAAAACATGATCTGCTAAACCCTATAAACCCTAAACCCTAACCCTAAACCCTAAACCCTAAACCCTAAACCCTAAACCCAAACCCTAAACCCTAAGCCTAAACCCGGTCCTTTTCAGCACGGCGAGCCGCATTGCTGCGGTACAGCTCCTGGGTGTTGGAAAATATCTTCGAGAACTTTCGGGCTTGGGGCGCAGGGTTAGGCTTAGAGTTTAGGGTTTAGGGTTAGGGTTTAGGGTTCAGGGTTCAGGGTTCAGGGCTTAGGATATGCGGTTTAGGCCCCAGGTTTCGCATTAGGCTTTGAGGGACATGGAAGTTTCGCAGGATGTAGCTATGCAAGGCAATGGTCTCGGCGGATGCACAAAGAGGCAATAGACGACGGCCTGGGGGTTCAGCACCCTGCTTCGGTTTAAGGGTTAAGGGTTAAGGGTTAAGGGTTTAGGTCACAAAATGCCGCAGCGAATTGGGCATGAATCACGACAGCATGAATTGAATGATATTCCGTGGATCACAAGACAAGCAGCTTTTGAAAAAGGAAGCTACTTTGAGTCAAAAGACAAGGGTTGCAATACGTATGTTTAGTCTGGGAATGATCAAATTCGATCTGTGAAGTCATACGTGCTACCGAACGAAGGGGTTGGGCTCCCTTAGCCTAAACCCTAAACCCTAAACTCTAAACCCTAAAACCTAAACCCTAAACCCTGGGCTCCCTTAGTTTCCAGTCGAGCTTGTGCCACCGTGGATAACAATCACTGGCCACCTCACATCGAGAGTCCCAGCAAACTCGCATCGACCACCCTAAACCCTATAAACCCTAAACCCTGAACCCTGAACCCTGAACCCTAAACCCTAAACCCTGAACCCTGAACCCTAAACCCTAAACCCAACCTGATACCTGCACTCTCCGACGTAGATATGCAGCGCAAAGAAAACCATCAGACTTCCAAAACCGGAGACATGATTGGGCCAACCCCCCTTTACAGGAAGAGGCCCGAAGAAGGAAATACGGACAAAACGAATATACCCACACGAGTTCCTCGAAGTACCTGTTACCGTCAGACGGGATTTACAAAGCACCCTAAATTCGAAAACCTACGACATTACGAGGAACTGCCAGGCGTCTGTGCGGCGTGCATCCTCTTTCGTAGGGGTCCTTCCGACAAACGAATCCAAGACCTGAGCACTTGCAGAGGTGTAGAGAGGAGAACGGCGTTGAGGGTTGAGGGCTTAGGTGGTTTAGAGATTAGGTTTTAGGGCTTAGAGGGTTTAGGGTTAAGGGTTTTTCGAGAGTTGAGGGTTTAGGTGGCTTTTAGGCATTTTAGTGTTCAAGACGTTGATACATCTCTTGACAGTTTTGGGACAGCACTCTCAAGTCGCTAAAGCCTGGAAAGTCAAGCCCTGAACCATCGAAGCCTAAGGCCCCGCCGAAGTTTAGGGTTTAGGGTTTAGGGCTTATCATGAAACACACAGGCTACACAGGTAAACCTTGAACAAACCGAAATCTCTGATCCGAAAAAAAGGCCTACACCCGACCCACCAAGAGCCCGAAACCTTGCCGACTTCCCTAAATGCAATTAAACCAAGCAAGGGGCCCACCAATGCTGGAGAGCCTGCGAATACGTTGCAGGGTCTCCTCTGCCAAACTGAACGCAGTTTAGGTTGCTTGTTGCTCAAGGGTTTCAGGGGTACTATCAGGGATAATCAGTACAAAGCGCTATAGGGGCTTCAAGCGCTTAGCGTATTCCCCACCCTCGGTGTGGGGTTGTTAGATTTTAAAGTCAGCTATTACTCCTCGCCCTCTGAGACTACCTCCTGGAGTGCCCAACCCCACAGACTAGCTGACTAGCGTGAGACTCCCGTGAGACTCCCTGGAGTGCCCAACCCCACTGACTAGCGTGAGACTTCCGTGAGACTCTCTGGAGTGCCCAACCCCACAGACTAGCGTGAGACTCCCGTGAGACTCCCTGGAGTGCCCAACCCCACTGACTAGCGTGAGACTTCCGTGAGACTCTCTGGAGTGCCCAACCCCACTGACTAGCGTGAGACTTCCGTGAGACTCTCTGGAGTGCCCAACCTCACAGACTAGCGTGAGACTCCCGTGAGACTCCCTGGAGTGCCCAAGCCCACAGACTAGCGTGAGGGTGGGGATGTTCGAAGAATTTTTTTTTGTTTTAAAGGGGGTTGGCTTGCTTTAGGGCGATACTGGCTTTTGCAGGGCTTGGGGTTCCAGGGCTTCGGGTTAGGGCTTCGTTTCACGCCTCAGGGCGGTAGTGTCCCAGGCTTTTGGTGCTCGAATTTCGCACTTTCAGGGTCAGTGTTAGGGTTTGGGGCTTATCGGGCCGCAAGACCATTTGTCTGCGGGGTTGATTATGGCAGGGTTGTGCTTCTTTGATAGAAAGCCATCCTCACAGACTCGGAACTCTGCGCCCAAATCAGGACCCTTCAAAACGATGTTTGGAGGGTTTGCCCCATCCCAGTTCCTGGCACATGGATAGTATAGACCAGGGGCACACACCGGTGCACATCGGCTATCTCCTGAGCAAGCTTCTCGGAAACGGTGGCAAAGCTAAACTAATGACATACACCCTAAACCCTAAACCCTAAACCCTAAACCCTATACTAATGACCGGGGACACCCGGCCCCGAATACATCCCAATACGTCGGGTACATTGAAGACGGAACTGGAAAGCCCTGCGGGAACGTCGGTGCTTGGCATGGCTGCGTGTCTCCGATTCAGCAGAACCATACACGGAAACCTTCTTAGGTACACTCTTCAGGGCACAAAGCTTAAACAAACTTAGTGGTGTGGACAGGTTGCAAAGCTGTTGTCGTCAATGAAGACGAACCTTGCGGGGCTTGACTGCGAAAGGAAGGAGAGAGGTGGAGAGGTATGCTGCCACACGTAGCCAAGGGAGATGGAACCTTAAATGGCAGTCTTTGCAATGCTAGCTTCATGAGTGTACCCTAGTATTCCAATTGTATACAGCGTGGGATTCTTTTCTTTACATAGATTTAAATAGGGATAGCACGTAGGGCCGCAAACAGTAATATAGGGGCCTTAATGATTAAAGTAGGGTTTTGGGCTCCTTTATAGTATAGTTGTAACAAGAAACCCACAAAACAGTGTTGGTAATTATTGAGGCCCCTACATTACCCTGAAAAAGGGTCTGCAGGGGGGTCAGAGTATTAAACCTCATTCTTCTGAAGCTTATGCTAGCATCCTGGAACTTCCTGCACCGTGGACATCCCCCGATTTCTAAATGCTACCGTACTTTTGAAGAGTCAATGCCACATAAACTGCAAGTGCTTCGTATTCCACGTGGCGATTCATCTATTACATCATCATCATCATCATCATCATTATTACGAGACCTTCAGATAAGCAGAACACCCCGACCCCATGACTAAGACCTAAGCAGACACGGCATTCCCACAATTCCCCTATTCATGCAGTCAAGCCCTCTCACGACTCAGGGTTCAGGAGTTTAAGTTTTCGGGCTTGGCGCTCAGGGTACAGAACGAAACAAACTGAAACACACGACAAGGCCGGCTGGGCCCGAACACGCAACAACCCTCCAGGATTCGACCTATAGTCTCCATTGTAGTTCCTTTAAATTTGGTTTAGCCAATTATATATTAAGGATCTTATAAGGTATCCCCCAAAAGGAACTACAATGGTGACTACGGGTTTAGTCTGCATTGGAGTTCCTTTTTTGGCCTAACCAACCATTTCTATTAAGGATCCTACGAGGAAGCTCAGAAAAAGGAACTGCGGTGGAGAATATAGGTATCCTTAAACCCTGGATCAAAGATCGAAAATCCGAATCAATCAACGGCAGACCCGGATGCGCACATGCAAAGCTGCTAAGTTCGACGAACTACGCCTGAAGTTCATAGACTTTTAGTCTCACTTTTTCCAAATCCAAAGTCCTACAACCCAGACAATCCCCAGTACCACCCGGTCCAAGAAGACACCGCAAAAAAGAAACAAGAACCCTGTGTAAATTGAGACATCATCTTCATTGATGGGTGCTGAACTCTGCAACCCCCTTGTGACGCTCTAGGCGCTAGATTAAATACAACCGGTTTAAAGCTCTATAGCTGATCGGGGTCTCTCAAACCTTATAGCTAGGCACAGTACTGAACTGAACATTAGAGTGCCCCCGAAAGCAAGCCTACACTCTTAAAGCGCCTAAACCCCTCTAAACTCCCATAAACCCCTAAAAACCCCTATAAACCTTATATGAGCTGTATGAACCCTGAAGCCCCTAAACCCTCGTAAACTCCTATAAACCCCATAAACATTATATGACCCTTATGAACCCCTATAAACCCCTATTAACCAAAAAGGAGCCTTATGAACCCCTATAAACCCGTATAAACCTTATAGGAGCCTGAAATGATCCATTTGACTACCCTAAACTTTACCTAAACCCCTAAACCCTAAACCCTAAACCCCAAACCCCTAAACCCCACAACCCCAAAACACC